CGGTGTCAGGCAAAGCTAGACAACCCATATACGCGTGCTACGCACGACCTTATCTCTAAAGCATGTACCAGGATTCTGTAAGAGTGGCTGTATTCTCACAGAACTCAATAGCTGCCATAAAGGGGCCATTGCAGCCTGACCCTCTATTCCACAAGGGGTCGTGGAATTGCTAATTGTCAATCTTTCCAGCCCCGACTTTTAGCACTCCGTGATTGATTCAAACGCGTCAGAATTATTATTTTTTAGTGAGGAATGCGCTGGTTTGCTCTGCGGATGAGTTCCGCAATGTCGAATCCACAGTAGTCAACTGCCTGAGCCCGTCAAGCAACTGGAACTATGACCATTTTTAATATACTCAGGAGACAACACAACCGATGCTTACTGCTTTTCTAGATTCAATTACATTTTCGAGATAGGTTGGCCCGAAAATGCAGTTTGTTTTTGTCAGAGATACCGTTTGCTTGAACGCTGTTTAACTTATGGTGGACAGCCAACAATACTGTTCCCCCTTCCTTGTTCAGTGTCTACTGCTCCGACGTAATATATCTTTGCTGGTAGCTGTTTCTGACTCACTGACCTGAAGACCCTTGTCCAACTTCCACATGCACAAACGCGCGTCCAAATGGTCGCCGCTGCTCAAGGGCCACTTGCACCCACCACCTCTCGGCCGATGCAGCAGGGGCCATTAACCTTGGCTTCGCCAATGGCCACTGCTGTCTGAGATAGCAATGCAGAGTTCTGTGCATAATAAATTCTGGGATTCGATCTGACGATTATAGTGCTCTAATTACAACCACTTCTTAGACCTCTACAACCTCACAGTAAGCGATAGGATGACCGAGTTTCTTTTCCTTTCGAACTTGCTACCTATGTCTACCGTTTGCCGCCCACGACCCACTAAACAGCGTTTAGCGTATTGATATTCAAAGGATAGAAAACAACTGTTTATTTTGCAATCTTGTCCGTTGCATAATTCTACTACAAAAGATAATAATTATGGACGAGGAAGAAGACGTATCGAGCACCAGATGAATTGATTCATTGTTCTGAGCTTTCGAACTCTTACATGAGTCTATCTTCAGAGATGAGAAAGCAAACAAATAAGAAGGTAATTATAGTGGCCATAGGCCAATCAACTGTCAGCAATCATCGGGTTGTCAAGGTGTTAGAAACAGCAATCAAAATGGATGGGGGAGGAGAGCAACTAACTGTCCGTGGAGTCGGGGGGCCATTATAGTGGTGTGCGCTAATTAAGTGTCAGTGGAGCTGGGGATCATGAACAGCAATTAGTGTGGTGCCTTGTCACCCGGTAGGTGGTCCTGGTAACCCTGCCTCCTCTTCCGGCCGGTTCGTTGTGGGGTCCTCTTCGCTTGCCATTCTTATGTTTAGCCAGGGAGATGAAACATTTGCTCATCCAAATGAACAAAAGTCTGGCAAAGCTCAAAGCCAAAGGGGCGATCACACCAAGC